GGCCGGGGCGGGCCCGGGCAGGAGCAGCGTCCAGGGTCCCAGCACGGCCGGCTGCGGACACAGACCACCCGGACCTTGGTCCCCCGCGTGCCTTCAGGACGCAGAACGCCCCCGCCGGAGAACGTCCGCTCCCAGGAGGTCCCGTGCACGGTGCCCCTTCCCGCTCCCACTGTCCACCTGGGACAATGCACCCTGTGCAGCAAGTTCCGGGAGGCGGCCAGCCCTGGAGAACCCTCACCCCAGAATGCCTCTTCCCGTACTAACATCCCCGGGAGACCCCTGCCCCCACCCAAGGCCAACCCTAGGGACTGCTGCCCGGAGGAGGCCCACCCTCTGCCCAGACGGCTTCACAGGACGGCGTCACCCCAGCGATGGCCCCAGGACACCCAAGCCCTCTGGAGGAGACCCCTCAGGCCACAGGGTGGTACCCCCAGGGTTGCCTCGGCAGATGTTGCCCCTAGTATGACTCCCCGAATACAGGACACCCCTGGGAGACCCCTCTAGGCCCTCCCCTGCTGGGGTCCCTCTGAGACGCCCTCTGAAGCGTGCCCGCCCTGGAAGCCCCCCAAGCACCGCCAGACCATGTCCTCCTGCCTGGAGGGCTCCCCCCAGCGGGTGCCCCTGGAGGCTGCCTCGGTGTGGTCCAGCTCCCCCTCCCAGAGCGTGTCCCCAAGGATGTCCCAGAGGGTGCCCACCGAGGAGCCCGGGGGCGACGACCCCCAAGGACATCCAGGCAGCCACCTGCCTGTCCCCCCAGGAGCATGCCCAGAGCCAGCCCCCAGGGCGGTCACCCACAGCGGGCTGAGGCAGCCTTAGACGGCCAGGCCGTGGCTTGGGGAGCGTGTCTGTCCCCCTCATGCGGGCAGGTCTCTGGCCAGTGAGGCTCCATTTCACTGGCGCGTCCCTGTGTGTCCCCAACCGCAGCCACCAGCGAGGGCGGTGCTGGGCCGGGGCAGGCATGGCCACAGGGTGGCGCTTCTGGCCACTGCTGCTTCACCTACATCAGGACACCCCAAAGTCAGCTGAGCCATGTGACTTCAGACTTGGCCTGAGGGGACTTCTGGAGAGCTGCCCTGGAGGCTGGGCCCCTGTCCATGCTGGGCGAACACAGGCCACTGACCGGAACCCTCCCCCCAGGCAGCCCGGGGATGCCCGCGCTGCCCGGCTGCAGGAGGGGCCGGAGCGGGGCGCGGCGGGGCCAGGCCTGGACCCCGGGGCTGGGGGGTGAGGGGGTTCGCAGCCTTTGGAGCTGGGCTCAGGGTGTGGGGAGGCGGCTTCCGCAGGAGGGGTCTGCGGTCTGCAGCGGCCCCAACAAAGTAACCAGCAGCCGTTACTGTTCGCTACTGTGTCAGCGGGTGGAGCACCGCCCAAAGCACTCTGGCTGAGGGGTCCCCGCCCGCAGGGGTGGGGGGGCAGGGGCCTCGGGAGTGCGGGCGGGGCAGCGCCCTGAACTGCAAGACAGCCCCCCCGCGCACACGGGGACCCGAGGGCTGCGGGGGGCCCCGGCCGTCGCCGATCAGAGCAAGGCGCCCCGGAAAGAGACAACACAGCCAACTTCTGCCGCTTGTTTCATATAAAACGCTAGTAAAATAGGTCTCTTAAAAATTAAATAGCGAAATAGCAACCGGATTATATACACGTTACAGTACAGGCCGCCCCCCTGCCCGC